CTTTTCAATTTTCTCCTGTTTAAGAACATAATGAATCGTGGTTTGAGGTTTCTATTAAATTTCATCACCATTCATGTAAATTTGCCCCTTCTATGGATGTTTAGAGATGGAATCCAAGGCCTGGTTGAAGGAGCAACGCCCGACATGATGAAAAGGCGGATGCTACTTGCAAGTATTTCAGTGCTTCTATGTTGCGATCCTCCAAGATACATGCAAGGTTTGAACAACTCATCTTTGTCCTGTCTCGAAATCCAATCCAATTTGTATTTTGTTTATGATAGATGTAGATCATCCAAGATGTTTATAAGTTAACAATAATAGGATGTGTAGCAATCCATGTTTTTTACTTTTGAACGTACTTGTTGGTTAAAAGAGCCGGTGACTATGCATGTGGTTTGGTTAATAATACCAGGGAATTACTCTTCTTTGAGAAATCTTAAGGTGTAATCATGTTACTGATTCCAGGACAGAAGCATTTCCAATATTCCATATAAGGTTCTAGGCCTGTAAAATCACTTGTTCACGACATAAAAATGAATGGACAGAAAGCATACGCTATTGTCATTCGAATTGATAGTGAAGTCATTCTATCAGATTCCTAATATTCATTGAGGATGGCTTATAAATGCTCTTAAATCTTAACCTCAAACTCAGCTGTTACCAATGACCAACTTCAGCTCACAACTTTTCAGATTGAAAATAGGAGGCTGTTAACCTTTCTGATGTATTGTAAATCATGAGCTTATATTATCGGAAAAAATACTTGGATCACAGCAAAAGCATTGGGGGATCCTTCGATGACGCTCGAACAAGTAACTCCTCCTGTTATTGGCCCTGGAGCACTCTTTCCTACAGAGGTTCATTCTGAACCTTCCAATTTTTCCCATATGTGTTTTAAGCGATCCCTTGAGAACGCCTTTCATATTGTATGTTTTACCGCTTTGTCTTTAATTGGCAGGAAAGAGTTGTCAGGCTGTTTGAAGGCAATACATACTCGGTTGTCAATATCTTTGATGTGACTTTGCGCCCACAACTAAAAATGACTGGTGTTGTTGAGGTAATTCATGATGTAATCTTGTTTTGGTTAATTACATGGTATAAGGACAACGAATGCCTTGAAGCTTGACAATGTCCTGGGTCTCCCTTCATTTTTTTCCCTTCATGAGGCATTGTTTTTTTGTTTTTTTAATGAATCCTTTATCAAGCATTAGTATGTTGATGATTATTATGTTATTTATGCAATGCAAAGTTGCTAATGTGAATTTTTTTATAATGGGCGTAACTCCTCCTTACAGATTCCCGAAGGAAACGGTTCTGGGGTTATCTGGGACAGGCAGGGGCATGTTGTCACAAATTACCATGGTAAGAGCTGTTGTAATGCCAAAAAAGAAATCTTGTTTGTATGACAATTCAGTTAGTATAAATTATGTGAATGGGTGATGCTTATCTTTTGCTTCGCTTTTGTTTGAATTTTCGCACGCAACATGCTCGGCAGTTTCTGCAAATGACATGTCAACCTTCCAACTTATTACGTTTCCCAGTCTTTTGATAATCTAAGGCATGAAAATTTCTGCATTATTGTGTGATACCTTTTTGCTTTGATTTCATCCTCAACAGGAGAATTACACCAATATGCAAGTGAACATTTTTTTAACTTTATTATGTAATATTGAATCCTTTTGGATTAATGGGTTACTATATGTTTAAAGTGATTCACTCTATTGTGGATATTACCAGTGATAGGTAATTCACTTTCAAGAAATCCAAGTCCTGGTCAAGTCGTTGCAAGAGTAAATATTCTGACATCAGAGGGGTGAGATGTTTAGTGCCCTTTGCTGGCAATTTGACCTATGATATCTGGTGCTGGTAACTCACCTAAGTTCAAAATACTGTTGGCATAAGATTTTTCTGGATTCAAAGTCCTCATTGTTTGTGCTTTGCTAAAAGGATTCAGAAGAATTTTGAGGGAAGGCTGATTGGTGCCGACCGTGCTAAGGACCTTGCTGTATTGCAGGTATTATCTCATGGCATTTTCATGTTTATCATGAAAATTAGTGGCAGAAGGATATTTATCTAAGTTTTCAACAAGTCGATTGGCCAGTGTGGGATGATTCTTTAGGTTGGGTGCTCAAGTGATCTACGAGGCAGAAGACATAACAGATCAACTTGCTTCCTATGTGAAGTCATAAAGTCATTGCATAATTGCATGAGTCATTTCTTAAAGGAATGGTCTGTAATAAATGACCTTTAGGGTATTCTTGGCCTCTTCCTTTCGTAGTTTAACATCAGAGTAATGGGAATGACCAAAATTAACTAGACTGGGTTCAGTCTGAAGTGAGTGAAAGCTTTATGTTAAAGTTTGTGGCTCTTTGTTCTCATATAGCTGTCAGCCATTTTGATTTCTGATAGGTAGAAGCACCTGAAGATCTATTGAAACCGACAAAGCTGGGCGAATCTTCTTCTGTGAGGGTTGGACAACAATGCCTAGCAATTGGAAATCCTTTTGGTTTCGACCACACACTCACTGTTGGAGTTATTAGCGGGCTTAATCGAGATATTTTTAGCCAAACTGGGGTGACGATTAGTGGTGGAATTCAAACAGATGCTGCTATCAACCCAGGGAATAGGTTAGTCCATGTCATGATGCCTTTCTAATTATGCTGATCCCATCATACAACAGTTAAGAAATTTCCATTTCAGTTAGTGATGAAAGGCTATATCAGTTATCAAGAATCGTCATGTGCTTCCTTGAGAAGCAAATATCATTTTTGGGATGTGAGTCTTTAATTGGTTAGTGGATGCTATTGTGACAGTGGTGGCCCTTTGTTGGATTCCAAAGGGAACTTGATCGGGATTAATACAGCAATATTTACTCAGACAGGTACGTCTTGCCATACTTATCTATCTGCGACACCTCATCTTTAGAACTGCAATGTTTTTAGGGGATCAGGGAAATAGTAAGCTGGATCATTGCTCAAAAGTCAAAAGTACTTGAAACGTTGGTCAAATACTCAAATTGGCATGTCATAGTCCAATACGAAACCATAAAGGGTGCTAAAATCTTAGTGCTTATTTGTGCATGGTGATTTGTTGTGTTGGTGTACAGGGACATCAGCTGGAGTAGGGTTTGCCATTCCATCTTCAACCGTGGCCAAGATTGTACCCCAGTTAATTAAATTCGGTAAAGTAAGTATTATGTTTCTTTTCTTTCCCCGTTATTGTGGACTTCAAAAACTGCATGTGAAGAATGATAATATATCTTGTCCTCATTTTTTTATTAGGCTGTTCGAGCTGGTTTGAATGTGGACATTGCTCCTGATCCAGTTGCAAGTCAACTCACTGTTCGTAATGGTGCCCTAATTTTGCAGGTGCGTGTATATGTTCCTTAAAGCTTCATTTTCCCTATCTTATGCATTATTTTGTTGAATTTTGTCATCTTGCTTTTAGGGGTCGTTTGGATGGCAGAATTTGACGATGGAATGTGGCCTATTTTCCATCCATTGATAGAATGTTGCACTTTCCTTTGTTTGAATGACCATTTGAACGATGACACAGTGTCATGCTGATGAAATGTAATCTTATTGTTGTGGTGCATTTAGGTTCCTGCTAATAGTCTTGCTGCCAAGGCTGGCCTACTTCCAACCACAAGAGGGTTCGCTGGGAACATAGTCTTAGGCGATGTCATTGTTGCAGTGGACAATAAACCGGTAACGCATTTTGTTACTGGGTTTCTTAAAGTTCAGACGCCATCTAGAATCTGAACCGACTAATGAATGCTGCATTATGCAATCAGGTGAAAAGCAAAACAGAGTTGGACAGAGTATTGGATGATTACAATGTCGGGGACGAAGTAGTGTTGAAGATTCAGAGAAGTGGGGAGAACTTGGAGCTACCTGTGACTCTAGAGCAAAGAAGTTGATGATCGGGGGCAGGCTTCCTCGTGTAATGGATTCATTCACAGTAAAAAAATAAACTGTGTAGAGATTTCATGCCCAGATACTTACATATCCATTCAACATTCTGAGCATACTTCACTGGCAGTTGATAGATACTACCCAATCTAAGTTGTTGAATTGAAGGTTGAAACCAAGGAGCAGTTTGGAACAGACCTCACTGAGCTGAACGTTCTATGTTCATAATGGTGCAAGTCTGTAACATGGTGTGCTCTACAGTCCATGATGTAATATATTGGTGGATAAGAAGCACATCTTATTCTTTTCCTTTCTTTCTACCAAGGCATCATTAAATCTCTTCATTTCTTGAACATCAGGCAAGTTCAATCCATTTTTGAAGTTGTGTTTAATGTAAAATGTATAAAAAGGATTTCTAACATAAAATATGAATAAAAATTAAAAGATAGTTTAAATGGATGTTGTTAGATTTATTTTATATCAAATAATAGTTTTTTATTTTTTAATTTTCAAATTATATAAATGCGTGAAAAGTATATTCTCTCGAAAAAATGATAACAATAATCGTGTATTCTCATAGCAGCATTTTACATAAGGTTCAAATAAGAACTCCTATTTTAATGTTATATAAGTAGTATTTTGCAATTTTTTCTAAAGGCGAGATTTGAGAGTTGTTTGGACCCGACTTCAGTTTTGAAGTACAAAAAAATTTCGAAAAACTGTGACCTAATGTCACAAATTAGTCAATTTGTAAGGTAAAGTGTGTGAACTAATGCTTCGTGACAAACAAAAACAAAGTTCCAATCCTTGTTCCTCTTTGGTGGAAAATAATTATCCATCAACATCCAACAGGCCGTGCCCCATGGGCCAAACCCAAGCAATCTGTTGACCTAGGCCTGGAGTGATAGCCATCGAGTCACGGTCCGGCCCGAATCACTTTCGCTTTCGCCGTGTACGCTTCTGTTGCCTTGCCTCCGTCTTTGTAATGTAAACCCTAAGCCGCTCCTCTTCACCACATATATATACCCCCCAATCCACCAACCCGTCTCATCTCTTCCATTGATCTGGCTATCAGCTTACGCTCAAGTTTCCTTTGCGATTATGTGTAGAGGAAATCATCGGAGTGGGTGGATTGGATAGAAAATCGATCAGCAGAGTAGAGAATCGGCGATCCCTTATCTCCGTCGCTAGCTTCTTTTTCTTACCAATACCACCCATTCCATTGAATTCCATCAATGGATTTAGATGGAAGAGATGTATGTAATGTACATACATCCTTGCAATCTCTTCTTTTTCGATGTTCCTCTCATGGGTTATCTCTGTTTTTAACTTATTTGATGGAAATCAATACCCTGGTGGAAAATTGGAAAACAAGGGTTCTGTTCTCTTTCGTTGAACAGATCTCTCGTAGACATCAGGAAGAGCATTTGTTCATCGACTTTGGGTGAGCCTGTTTCTACTGACTCAAGGCTCAGTAAGTGATGATACATCAGATTTATCCTTCTTCGTCTTGTTGCTCTGTTTTGAAGTTTGATTTGTGGTTTTTTTTGGGTAGTAGTTGATGATGACAATTCGAAAGGCTTGTTTCTCAAAGAACATTCGCAGTGGCCGACTAAGAGCTTTCGCCTTTCGCCGGGCTTGAGAGCTAATGCTGCTCACTTCCTTCTTCCTTGGATGTCTGAGACTCTTTTTTTGTCGACGTTTTCTAATTACTCGGACTGACTATCAACATTTATGAAGAGAGATCACATATAACAGTGACTTTTATTGAACCCAAGGGTTTGATCTATAGGTTGGCAAATGGCAGCACAATTCAATGATCTCCCAATCAATCAAGGATGAACTAGTGTGGGCTTGTAATCGATGATGAGGAACTTGTCGAGTTTAGGGATGAACAAGTCTGCAAATTCACGGTGAGAAGGATGAGCCATGTACTCGACGACGTCCTGTTCGGTCTCGAATGTGCACTCGAATATGTGGGTGTATCCTTCATCCATGCCGCACACTCCGACGTCTCTCCCCCTGGTTTAGAAAGACCATGAGTGTGTTTTCAGAGTATGAAACATAATAGTCAAATGAAGGTTTGGCTTACCAGTGGAAGGACTTCATGGAAGGGATGAGATTGACGAGATTGGCATAGTCCTTGATGTGTTGCTCAATTTCATGCTGTGGAATGCTTTCTTTCAACTTCACTACCACTACATGCTTCACTTCTCCTTTGGCTGCTCCCTCCATAATCGACTTCTGCTGCGCTCGGTCTCCTTCTGTAATGTAATAATATATAACAGCAACAGCGGACTATGTTAAGTTGTTGGTTCAGAAACAGTGGGGTAATTACGGATATGAAAAACGTGTTCAAAGCTACACCCACCCTCCCCGTCATTCATCTGCCACCACAATTTCCCGCCTTTCTCCATCGCCTTACCAATTGTGGGTTGATTTGATGGACAAGCTATACAAATATTGTTTGCTTGAAATTGTAAGTAATACTAGCTTATTACCCGGCCCGTTGGCCGGATTACTGTATGTTACCTACTTGTGGAATGAGAGAGAAAGCAAATGAGAGTGAAGGGATTGAGATTCCACTTGATTAGGACTGACCCACTAATCCAATTCTTCCCGACCCGCCCCAACCTACAGGGTCAGAAAGAGTCAATAAGAAAATACGAAAGGGGAGGATGAGTCATATATCTTGACTCTTCAGAAGTGGGTCAAACAGGATCAAGGTTGGGTGAGGGCAATTTTTAGCGCTAAGCAGAATTCTGGGTTGAATACCTTTACTTAGGCCTAGAAATTAGTGCTGATGCAGACTGCAGTTTTTATTATACCATCATCAATCATCATTGAATTAGTCCTGGGCATCCCTCCCCGTTGTCGGTCTGAATTCTAATGATGACTTCATTCCTTGCACCAGCCATATCAGCGAGTTGCCATCTCGAGCATGATTTGCCTATGTACAAATAATACAATTAGAGTATGAAAAGGAAAAGAGAATTCTATCACATGCCAATAAATACACACATAAAAGTTGAAGCTAAGTGAAAGTCATTACTCGCACATCAATTCTCAAAAATTACAGACTAAACATTGGCTAGAATGGCACTGAAACTACCAAGAATCATGGACGAAACAACTTGTCAAATTAAATAATCCTTATACTGAAACTACCTTCTAACTGGAAATAAGACATGATCACAGTTCATAGCTCTCTTCTCACTATGAATTGGTTGCAGCTCGTCCTTATCACTGCCTCTCAAGCTCAATTCAAACAGAATAGAGACCGTTATGTAAGATAACCATATTCTTACTGATCATAATTCCTTTCTTCACTCCATTGTTGTCGGAGAAAAGAGTTATCCCCCTCTCCTGCATTTCCCTTTCCCTCTCTCTTCTCCCTCTTCTTCACAAACCGATCCCTAAACCAGCAACAACAACACAAAAATAGCCTTCGCCTCTCCCGTCTCCATCTATTGAACGCGTTGGTGGCAAGACAGGACTGCAGAAGCAAAATTTTCTAAAATCAAACTAAATTTTTTGAAGCAGACTCAACCACGAAAAAAGAGTAAAGCAACAATGCAGTAGAACCCTAAATTTAACTACAATCAAGCACATATCAGCAAGATTTTTGATTTGTCTGAGAGTTAACTACACGGAGAGAACAATTGATGCATAATTGAAATGCTCCAAGCAAGTTGAAGGCAAACCATAACTTTAGAATTTGGTCATTATAATAACCTTCAAGTATTGATGCTTCTAAGAACTATCATGTCCAACCCCCACTTATACAACTACATAGCCATAGTAATTAGTTATATAATGAGAAATATTACAAAGAAAACTACATAAACAACCAATGTAAGTAAATATTAAAACTAACAACTGATAAAACTTAAAATCTCTCTACTGGTATAAATGTATCTATTAGTAACTACTATGCAATCGAGTATATATGATTTTTAGGCACTGAATAAGAAAAGTATAGATGGCTCACAAATGAAGACGTAGCAACTGAAGGTAGCACACAAAAACCAAAAATAGAAAAAGAGATAAGAAAAAAGGCGAGAAAAAGTCAAACAAAGAAAAAGCCCACATAGGAATACCTCGCTAGCTTTAGGGACTCTCTGCCACAACAAACAACCTTCTTAAAAATCTAACACCCTGAGACATCAAACAAACCTCCCACGACACTAATGTATGACATTCCTATTGTCCAATAGGTTTGCCCAATTTAGACTTCTAAATAAATGGACTTTTCACCATTAAACCAAAACTCACAATCATTAACAGTTAATGCAAAGACATACATTTCTGAGACCAATCACAGCATTTAAGCATAATTTTAGTTGAAAAGAACAACTAAGTATTTAGCTAAATGATATAGTAGAATGGACACAATCTGCTACCTACTAATGATATAAACGTGTACCGGTACCATCGTTGTATCCTGACTTGCCATTTGCAACGGGCACTTTGAAAGACAGCTGCATTTTAGAGAATAAACACTCATAAGGGCGTTACGAAACCAAGCTTAATCCAAAATCTTCATATTCCACTTCGAAGACTCCATTTTCAAAAATAAGAGAGTTTAACATGTCAAATCACTCATTTGAAAAATCTCAAACAACTATTAATCAATGCAATATAAAGGCACGTTCCAAATTATGTACTTGTAGGAATAATCCCAAATAATTATCAATTAATGCCCCAACTACCTAATGTGCAGAATAGCCCTGGAGCTGTGCTGTTGTTTGCGTTGGTCTACCTTCAAACATAACATAGTTGCATCACGAACCAAAGCAATTAAGCAAAAATCTTCATATTCCAAGTAGAATGACTCAATTCAATTTGGCTAACGCTTTATACATATTGTTTACCCCTGGACCTGTTGCACTTGCGCCTTCAGATCTTCGTGAACACAATACAATTGCGGAGAGGAGGCTGTCAACGGAATAAAAATTGTTAATTAAGTGAATCACCATACAACTAAACAAACGCGCTCTTCTTGATTAGCTATCAAAATAGTGGGGGTCGCTACAATCCATCGGTTGCTCCCTCTGCGCCTAAGTTGTAGATATTAGGTTTCAGTGAGAACTTTGAGTACATGAGGAGATATTTTGTAGTGGAGGAGATGACCCGGCGAGTAGAATAGGAAGATTTGGAGAGGCTGCGATGGGCAAAGCAGTTAAAATCGAGATTTTACCTAAAATCGAAAACTGGGGTAAAATTAAAATCGTATAATCGAATCGTAAAATCGTAGGATTTTAAGTACCATATAGAACATAGCATATAAGAATATTAATAAGGTAAATTATTAATATCACAAAGACACATAGCATTTAAAATGATAATTCATAAGATTTTTTTTTCCATAAGATAATTCTCAAGATTAATGTTCCAAAATCACTATTTTAATTGTTATTTAATGTGTAACTCAAAATAATTCATGATGAAGGGATATAGTTCATGAGTTTGGCTCTTATTTTCATGTTATGTCTAGGTTGTTTAACTCAAAGTAATATTTCGACATCGTCTACTAAGTATGATTTAAAACTAAAAATAATTGAACTCCAATAAAATAAGTAATGTTAGTGGCTTGGTACAAATATATTCATTAATAAATTAATTAGTTAATAATGATCTTAGTTCTTACATACTTCCAATATTAGGACAAGTGTTTTACCAATAAGTTAAATGGGGTGAAGGGAAAGAGATTAACCGAACCCTAATTTGGTTATTTTTATTATTTTTGAATATTTTTCTAATAGAAAAATATCTGAGAAGATTCCATTGCCCTTTCCGTTGAAACAGTTATACTTATTTTAAATTGGCTCAAACCACCTATTTTGTTCTCTTACGATCAAAATCCCGATTTCGGTACTATTTTACAATTTTAACGATTTTAGTCCTGATTTTAAACGATTTTAAGGTCCACCGATTTTATAGTAAAATCAAGATCGGAATCCCTAAGTAAAATCCTAAAATCCTACGATTTTACGGTCAAAATCCCGAATTTGACTGCATTGGCGATGGGTGCACGATTAGTGGGCCAAATAACAGTTTGGGCCCGTTTAAATGAAAACATATTTTTACTTTCGTGCTCAACAGACCGACCGCACTGGCATCTTCTAAATTTACCCCTAAAAAATTGCTCTGTACGCATCAAATTTGAAATGGAATCCCTCTTTTCTCATTTCACATTTCACATTTATATGATGTGTAGATTGTGATGAGTGTAGATGTAGACCTGTCATTGTCCTACAAATTCATTAACACGCCAAAAAGTGGTGAAATGAGCCACCCTATTAAACACAATTTTGTATAATGATCATTGGATCCAATCATGCCAGATTATGAAGAAGTTTAAAATGTAGCGGTTATCGCGACTAAAACATTAAAAGAACCAGTCTCATATAGTTTGCACAAAGATATAATTTCTCCATAGTAATTCTGAAAAATAATATTAATTTAAGAAGTCGATATTGATTCTACATGTTTAATATTGCAATTCGATATGCAATATTCAAACCAGTGATATTTGGGCTGCAATTTTAAGGTTATTGTATATTTATAAAATAGATAGAAATTTAAATTAAGTATTAAACTACAACTAAAATAATCAAAGTATTAAAACACCAAATAAGTACTTACGGGAGATTCAGTGGTCAACTAATCGTTAAAAAAGTCATATGATTTTCATAATTTAGGTTCGTGTATGTTTGGATTTAAATAGATACAACAAATATACTTAGTGTGATTGGTTATGATCCTTGTTTGCCTTTAAAGAGACCAAGGTTCAAATCCCAGTGCATGCCTTTTTTTATGAATAAATAAATAAGAAAATAAGCAATTGTGAAGACCAAAATGTCCTTCCTATAATCACTCTCGTTGCAGGAAATTTGAAATGGAGCAACAGTTTAATATTGCAATTCGATATGCAATATTCGAACCAGTGATATTTGGGCTGCAATTTTAGGGTTATTGTATATTTATAAAATAGATAGAAATTTAAATTAAGTATTAAACTATAACTAAAATAATCAAAGTATTAAAACACCAAATAAGTACTTACGGGAGATTCAGTGGCCAACTAATCGTTAAAAAAGTCATATGATTTTCATAATTTAGGTTCGTGTATGTTTGAATTTAAATAGATACAACAAATATACTTAGTGTGATTGGTTATGATCCTTGTTTGCCTTTAAAGAGACCAAGGTTCAAATCCCAGTGCATGCCTTTTTTATGAATAAATAAATAAGAAAATAAGCAATTGTGAAGACCAAAATGTCCTTTCCTATAATCACTCTCGTTGCAGGAAATTTAAAATGGAGCAACAGTTTTTATCATTCGGCTTTTATTTATTATCTAGATTGTTCAAATATTTTGGTTGACATGTTAATTTTTTAACATCTCAACCCTTTTACTCAGTGACGGACCCAGAATTGCTGGAGAGGTGTGTCGCCGATAAAAAAATATAATAATTAAAATATTAATTAAAAAATTATTAAACAATTAATAGAAATCAATTCATAAAGTTTATGCTTACTAGAAATGTCTGTAAATACATTCATTGCTTATATTACGAAGCAAATCCTTTTCGATACACACAACTAAACAATGATTCATAAATTGGTCACTCAACCGATTTCAAAGTTCATTCTTGATTATCTTCATAGCTTAAATCTGTCGCAACTTTCAATTGTAATATGTAAAGTCAACACCAACTTCCAAAAGCAAGTAAAACTAAAGGGTAAAAGAAAAGGGAGATGTGGTAGTGGCTCTCAGTAATTGGAAACTAAAACGGGGTAAGGGTGAGTTTTTTATTTTCAATAAAGGAAGGGTCAAGGAGCGAAAATGGTAAGTTTCAAAGGATGGGGTTATATTTATTTTTTCCATTGTTGGGTTGTGGTAGGGATGACAACCAAACCCATGGTCGCAGGTACCTGACCTCCTCCGACCCAGTCAACGCAGGAATCCTTGCGTTGACTTGGTATGGGGCGGGTATGGATAAAACCCCCCAAAAAGGTTGATGGGTATGGGGCATGTATGGTTTTGACTCTCCCGCCCCATACCAAACCCGCCCACCAATTCATTGCTTAAGCAAATCCTTTTCGATATACACAACTAAACAATGATTCATAAATTGGTCACTCAACCGATTTCAAAGTTCATTCTTGATTATCTTCATAGCTGAAATCTTTCGCAACTTTCAATTGCAACATGTAAAGTCAACACCAACTTCCAAAAGCAAGTAAAAATAAAGGGTAAAAGAAAAGGGAGATGTGGTAGTGGCTCTCAGTAATTAGAAACTAAAACGGGGTAAGGGTGAGTTTTTTATTTTCAATAAAGGAAGGGTCAAGGAGTGGAAACGGTAAGTTTCAAAGGATGGGGTTATGTTTATTTTTTTCATTGTTGGGTTGTGGTAGGGATGACAACCAAACCCATGGTCGCAGGTACCTGACCTCCTCCGACCCAGTCAGCGTGGGAATCCTTGCGTTGACTTGGTATGGGACGGGTATGGATAAAACCCCAAAAAAGGTTGATGGGTATGGGGCAGGTATGGTTTTGACTCTCCCGCCCCATACCAAACCCGCCCACCAAGGATATTATGTTATATACATAAAATATAAGGAGTGTATTGTAACTTGTCAATTGAATGATTGGTAATTATAAGAAAAAATAAAGTGTTAAAATGTAATTGATGACAACCAAACCGTAATTTCATCATCTTATGTATTAGTTCCATAATTTTGGGTGGGTAGTATCCATATTTGTCACCATATTCTTTTATTAATGGTGAGTAGTTGTTAGGGCGATATTACCCATGGGTATCCGAAAACCGCGGGTATGGGGATGAGTTTGTAAGACCTTCCACTGCATGGGTATGAGTTTGAATATTTGGAAACGAGGATGAGGTTGGTTTAGGCAAACCCGCCATATTGCCATCCCTAGGTTGTGGTGTGGGTTACTCTAAAACAAGCATATTTATTTGAATTTACTTATTATTGTGTATTACTAATTAAGATAAATAACTTTATAACAAAAAAATCATTCTCGTATAATGAAGGTGTGTCGCTCACAATTATTTAATGTGTGTCGGAAGTCCCGAATTAAAAAAAAATTGTACCAAAAATATATAGGTACTTCACAAAATTTTCGGGCGTTGGTGTGTCGGACGACACACCCTGCCCTTTACTAGGTCCACCACTGCTTTTACTTTACAAGAGTTTGTTTGTTTGGGGTTTATTTTTGCATGGTTTTGCTTTTAGGATGCACCATGATAACTTTTCCGAAGGTCATCCATTTATGCACTGCTTCACATTGAGTAAGTTCAATTTAAAAGTTCTAACAAAAACTTCTCAATTTCACCTCCGAGATGTGGCATTTCAGAATCTCTTTTATACTTTGTCGATTTGAGATTTACCTATAATTTTACATTTTATCTATGTTAATTTTT